TAGCTATTCTAAAGTGGTTGTGTGCCAGCATAAATGTAATCAGGGTCCTTGGTCTCATACAGCTTAACTCTTTTGCAGCATTAATTATATAAATTTATAAGGCCAGAAGGCACCATTGTGATTATCTGTGACATCATGCATAAGCTTCTTCCATGCTGAAGAGTAGCCTGTGGGAGAGGGGGTGAATCAGGCAATCAAGGCTGGCCTGATGGGCAGTGCAATAAAATTATAGGGAAGATGCGGCTATGTTGTGAAGGGCTTTGTAGTTAAGAATAAAAGTTTGTGCTTGACACAGTGGAAGAGAACTGAGTCAAAGATGAATAGAAGATTATGGGCTTGAGAGACAGAAAGGATGAGGGTACCATCTCTTCACTAATTTAGAGATGAGATGGGCAGGGGAGGGCCTCTAGGAAAAGATCAGGAGCTCTATTCTGACCATGTTAAGTTTCAGTTGATGGCTTGATGTCCATTAGGAGATTCCAGAAAAGGGGATGGAAACATTAGTTTAGATGGAAGGAGATTTGTCTGTGGTAAAGAGATAGATATGAGACATCAGTGTAAACATGGGGACAAACAAATTTCTTAATTTCATAGAGATTAAAGTCAGGAGGGACAATTAGATCATCTAGTCTGACCTCCTGTATAGCACAGGTCATTAATTTTCACCCAGATACCTCTATATTAAGTCCAAAGACTTTAGTTAGACCAAAGCATTTCAGTTCTCAGGAGCCTAAAGTGTGTGCCACAGGGAGAGACCAAGGTGCCACCAGTGCCCATGGCCCCTGCAGTGACAGGAGATTGATTAGATGAGATATGCCCAGATGATCCCAGCAGGTGAGCCATACTCCAAGCTGCAGAGACAAAAATGCACATCTCTTCTCCAGATCCCTGCCAAACTGACCACGTGAAAATTCCTTACTGACCCCAGATCTGATGATCAGTATCACCCTCAGCATGTGAGCAAGATACTAGTCAAGCATCTAGAAAGAGGATTCTCTATACCATCTTAGAGCACTGTCCACTCCATCTGGTCTCCATTCCAGCTGTGGCCAATCTGATGCTTCAGAGGAAGGCACCAAAAAAAAAAAAAAAAATGGAGAGAGCAAGGGAGATTGAGAATATCTGGCCACTTGTGTACTGGTGGTGGGCCGGGGAAGATACCTTCCTGACCAATGCTGATGACCATCTGAAGCCATGAAACATGAGATTTGATTATAGACATTATCTTAATGCAGAGCTGTAAGTGTTAATCCCCAAGGCCCATGAAGGGAGGGAATGAAGGGAATTCATAGATTCACTGTTTCCAAGGCCAGATGGGACCCCACAACTATCCAGCTCTCCCCAGCACTCAGAATGCAGAACTTCTCCCAGAAGTTGGATAAAAGTATATATTTTAAAAATATATCTAGTTTAGTCTGAAAGGCTCCAAGCAATGCTGAATCCATCACCTCTACTTGTAAACTGTTCCAGTGTTTGTTTAACCTCACAGTTAGGACATTTCATCTTAATTAAAGGTTGAATTTATCTAAACTCAACTTCTAGCCATTGCATCTTGTTATGGCTTTGTCAGCAAGGTTGCAAAACCCTCCACTATCATATCTTTTCCATGTATATAAGTACCAGAATTGCCATTCTAAATCAGACCCATAAAATCATAGAAGATGAGGGTTGGAAGAGACCTCAGGAGGTCATCTAATCCAATCCCTGCTCAAAGCAGGACCAACCCCAACTAAATCATCCCAGCCAGGGCTTTGTCAAGCCAGGCCTTAAAAAACCTCTAAGGATGGAGATTCCACCACTTCCCTAGGTAATCCATTCCAGTGCTTCACCACTCTTCCAGTGAAATGGTTTTTCCTAATATCCAATCTAGACCTCCCACACTGCAACTTGAGACCATTATTCCTTGTTCTGTAATCTGCTACCACTGAGAACAGCCTATCTCCATCCTCTTTGGAATCCCTCTTCAGGTAGTTGAAGGCTGCTATCAAATCCCCCCTCACTCTTCTCTTCTTCAGACTAAAGGTCTATCTAGACCAGTATCCTGCCTCTAACAATGGCCAGTATCATATGCTTCCAAGGAGGGTGTAAAAACCCCATGCTAGCGGATATACCACCTGGACCAGGTGACTTTTTAAATTACTACTTTGTTCCAGTGCCATTTCTTCTAAATCTTCATGTGTCACCCAGGTTAAATGCCAGTATCTCATTTTATACTTTACCTGTTAAAACACTGGACAGTAATCAGTCAAAAGCCTGTGTTTCAAAGTTGCAGTAACTCTAAAACAGGTAATGCTACTTTTTATGCAGGCAGTTTGGTCTGATGGCTAGAACAATCGGGAGACCAGAGTTGTATTTCCAGCTCTGCCATTTGGCTACTGGACAACTTGGGCAAGTCACTTCACCTCTCTGTTCTTCAGTTTCCCCATCTGTAAAATAGAGATACCCAACTCTTATGTAATGTTGTTATAATTTTACCCACCTGTTCCTTCTTAAATAGTTGGTAACTGGGGATTTAAATATTCATATGAATCCATCCACCATATTTCTATAATAGCAACTATTGAAGAATTTTTCTCATACTCAAGAATTTTCAGTCCTTCCAGTCCAGACTCTTAACATTGGTATATACCACAGCAATTTAAAAATAGTTCTTTTCACATTCTGTGATACCTTAATTTGTTATGTTTGTGACACTTTGAGTCTGAGTTATGTCTGGTCTGTCCTCTGCAATTCGCTGCCTTTGCTCTAGTTAATTCCCTAGTGATATTCCTGTTGTTGTCACACTAAGTACTTCCTATCAGTGTTGATACATTTAATTGTGTAGAAGTATTTGGTTCTTTCATTTTGTGATCACAGCCTCTTTAATGCTACATAAGGCTGAGTCTACACATAGTTTTTTGTACCAATTTGAACTATTTTGGTTTGGGGTGTGCCTTTTTATAATAAAACTAGTGAAATCAGCATTCATCATAGTGTGGATGCAGTTGTATTAGTATGAAGGTGCTTATACTGGTATAGTTTATTTCTGTACCTGTACAGGAGTAAGCTACATTGATATAACTGGTATACGAGGGAATTGTATGGCTTTATACTGGTTTCCAACAGATTGTAGTTATACTAGCACAGAATCCATGTAGTCAGGCTCTAAATTTGGTAGTGTATTTTCAAGATTACAAACTTCCTTCCAACGCAGCTGCCACTTGCAGTTTATGCACAGGAAGGAAAACTCTCCCTTCAGGAGGGAAGGAAAATTTAGCACATCCCTTGAAGATCACAATAACTGTTTTTTCACTGGTTATCATAGTTACCAGAGTTGGATTATACATCTAGAAGGAAAGTGCTCTGGTTGAATCTCCTGTTCACTGTTCAGGAGTTTGCTTTATAACTGTCTTTTATACATAAATATTTCCTTTCAGAAGTATCTGTACCTAATCTACTCAAGATTTCCCTCTGCCAGTTTTTTTGTAAAATAGATTATAATGTTTTAAATACACACCAACAATCAAACATGAGAAACTCTCCTGACAAATTTTAACAAGAGATATATTTCTTACACAGAGCTAAACAAAAACTATATAAAATTCGAGGGGCATAATTCATAGATTTTTAAGGCCAAGAAAGAACTCTGATGATGATTTTGTCTGTTCTCCTGCATTACATATGCCTGAGAATTTCACCCAGTGATCCCTGCGCACAGCCTATAACTTCCGGTTGAGGTAGTGCTTATTTTTTAGATATCCAGTTGTGATTAAAGACTCCAAGTGATTAAGAATCTACCACATCCTTTGATAAATTGTTCCAGTGTTTGATTACTCTCACCATTAAAAATGTATGACTTATTTTTAGATTGAATTTATCTAGCTATTGCTTCCAGCCTTTGGATCGTGTTATGCTTGCTAGACAAGCAAGCTTTACAATCAGAAATCCTCTTCCTATGCGTGGTACCTCTTAATGTTTTTTTTTTTTTAAATAAATAAGCTAAATAGATTGAGCTTCTTTAGGCTCTCACTGTAAAGCATGTTTTCTAGACCTTCGATCATTCTTGTAGCTTCTGTGGACACTATAATGGGCCACAATATTCCAGTAACAGTCTCACTAATTCTGTATGCAGTGGTAATAACAGCTTGATATTTTTTAGCTCAGTGTTCAACTCTCATATATCCAACTGTCAGATATGCCGTTAACCATCATGTTTCACTGGGAGCTCACATTCAGTTGGTTTCCACTATGGCCCCTAAGTCCTTTTTAGAGTCTCTGCATTTCAGGATAGTCTTCCATCCTAAAAGTGTGACCTAACTTCTTGGTTCCTAGATGTGTGACTTACATTAACCTGTACTAATTCAATCCACGTTGCTGTGTAGAACTGACTCGTTCTTATTGTTTACCACTCCACCAATTTTTGTCATCTGCAAACTTTTCTGGCAAGGAATTTATATTTTCTTCCCTATCATTGATAAAGTTTTCAAATAGAAGTGGACCAAGAACACATCCTTGTAAGACCCCAATAGAAATGTACCCATTGCATGACTATTCCCCATATGCTATTACTTTTTGAGATATATCAGCTAGCTATTTTTAAATCCATTGAATGTGATGCATTGGTTTTTGTATAGTGCTAAGCTAAAACTATATAAAATTCCACATTTAAAGGCTGTTTTCTTACTGAGAAAATTTTATGCCATATTTTATGTCCTTTTCTGAACACAGCCTTAACTGTGGTGTTGTATTCAGTGCCTCTATAATAGGTTTTGCAGATAAAGAAATCTATCCCTACAGTATGTATGTAGTACAGTAATAGATTAAACAAATCTAACAGGGTGTCTAAAAATATGCTTCAACCTGAGATTTAATGCATTTTGCCATGAATCAATGCCTACTGATCTCATGGTGGAAAGGAAATGCCCTTGAAAGACTGTTAAATAGAAGGTTGCACAGTTAGATTTTAATGCACACAAAGTACTTTGACGTATGTTTTTAATGTGAATTTTCACCCCCACTAGGTTCCAAGCGTTCCTCCCATAGCAATGCTTATTTCTATGGCTTCTTCAAGAATAAGCGGATAGTGTTGTTTGACACCCTCCTGGAAGATTACTGTGCACTGAACAAAGAACACTCAGAGGGAGAAGATGGTGAAGATGATGACACAAAGTCCAAAGTCAAAGTGAGCTTCATTTTTGTTCTCCTGTCATGTAGTTTGCCTGATCCCTCAGCGAGATTCTCCCTTACATCTTCTCCATATTCTGTTGTAGGATTGTGAAACTGTAAGAACAAAACCTTGAAAGCATTTGAAACTTCATGATTTATTTACAAAAGAATCTCTGAGACACTGGTACAAATGCACCTTCCAAGGCTGTGGATGGGTGCAACATCAGGAGCTCAAGAATCTTGGCCAGAGGTTCCTAAAAACCTCTTGAGAGCTCTGTTGGGCTCTCTTTCCACCTTAGAAGTTCTGGGTTCTACCTTCCTATCCATTTCTTGCCTCGTTAGATCTTGATATATCCCTCACCTGTATCTGTCTTCAGCTGGAGACCTTATAAATTTACTTCTCTCCCCATTCAAAAATCTTTTCCAGGCAGTCAGCAGCATGTTTTCCTATCCAGTCTTGAGGGACTGGCAAAAAGATTCCTGACTTCAATTCAGGAAGAGCCTTCATGGGGCAGGGTTGGACAGGGCTGGTCTCCTGGTTATATTTCAGCTGTGGGGTGAGAAACAGACCTCTTCTGCAGAACAAAGTCTGCATCCTGAGAAAGTCTGGATAGCAAATGTAATCCACCAAACTGAATTTGTAAAACCCACTTGAACCAAAAAAGTGGATTTCAGTCTGCCCCAGTTATAAAGGTTTTGGGGAAATAGTTCAGACTTGAACTGTTTGGAAGAACACATTTAAATGTCTCCAAATGATGTGTTCTTCAGTAGAATAAGCAAATTTGTTTTACAAAGACTGATTGTACAGTAATAACTTTCTCCACCATCCTGTATGTCAGTCTGGACAGTGTCCTACCAGCAGAGAGAGGACAGGACAAAACAAAATCTAGGACATCCTCAGCATTATGAAGGTTTCAGAGTAACAGCCGTGTTAATCTGTATTCGCAAAAAGAAAAGGAGTACTTGTGGCACCTTAGAGACTAACCAGTTTATTTGAGCATAAGCTTTCGTGAGCTACAGCTCACTTCATCGGATGCATACTGTGGAAAGTACAGAATATTTTTTTATACACACAAACCATGAAAAAATGGGTGTTTACCACTACAAAAGGTTTTTTCTCCCCCCACCCCGCTCTCCTGCTGGTAATAGCTTATCTAAAGTGATCACTCTCCTTACAATGTGTATGATAATCAAGTTGGGCCATTTCCAGCACATTATGAAGGTAGCTGGCTCAGCAGAGTTTTCTTCCAAGCAGCAGACAGTCCTTTCTCTGTTCACTAGAAAAATTCTTGGAGGATAGATCCATCAATGGCTATTAGCTAGGATGGGCAGGGAAGGTGTCCCTAGCCTCTGTTTGCCAGAAGTTGGTAGTGGGTGACAGAGGATGGATCACTTGATGATTACCTATTCTGTTCATTCCCTCTGGGGCCCCTGGCGTTGGCCACTGTCAGAAGACAGGATACTGGGCTAGATGGACCTTTGGTCTGACCCAGCATGGCTGTTCTTATGTTCTTACCCGAACAAGAATTTTCCTTAATCTTTTCTTTTTGCTTCTGTCTCCTCTGTTGAGCACTCTGGGTAGGGCAGTGCACTATCTCTGTGTGTTTGGCTTCCTTTTAAATAATGTCTCCTGGTTTTCAATGACTCGTTTTGTTGTCTCCTTGCCTGGAGACCAGAATTTTTATTTTAGAGGTATATTAAGGCCCCCCAGACATAGCAAATAAGACCAAACAGATAAAGCTCAATGGTTATTCATTATATTTTTAATTTAACTCATTCAGTTCCGTTATAAGTGGAGAGACATTATGAAAGTTCAGTATAAAAGTGTCTCTATGTTGATCAGACCATCTGCTGGTAGGTAAGATTATGTAGTATTGTTCAAAAGTTTGTAGCTTCATTAATGGTTATTAGGCACAGTAAATGGCTTCTCGAGTTCAGCTCTTATGAGTGAGTTCCTATAAAAAAGGGTAGAATATTACAAGAGGTTAGTTTTTACTTGTATTCCTCTGCTTAAAAGAGGAAAATAACTGCTTTCTGAGCTGGCATACCGTGGAGTTTGGAAAAAACAGATCAGCAGGCAGGAAATTGGTTAACCGTATTATGTGAGATGTTTGAGATTTTTCTCTCGTTTTGCACAGAATAAGAAGCAAGGATGCAAAAATGAAGAAGTTTTGGCAGTGCTTGGCCATGAACTGGGTCACTGGAAGCTAGGTCACACGATCAAAAATATTGTCATCAGCCAGGTAAATAGTAGTATATTGATGGTATTCCTGGAGCATTTTTTCAATTAGAAGGTTCAACAATCTAAAATTGTCACACTCCATGATTCACACACAATCATGCTGCCTCCAGCAAATGAAGGGGAGGTCTGTGGCATCCATTGGGCCATTCAGATTTCCTTGTGTACAATGTCCTACACTAGCATCTCCGTAGCTATTTGGGGACGGTATTGTAAACCCATGGCCAAGTGCCCAAGTCAGCACTTTACTCCTGTCTAATTTGTCTGGCTCCCCTACTTCTTTCTGAATCTGAAGCAGGATCAATGCCTGTTTACAGTTCTCATCTAGGGTTCTGCATCCTGCATGCAACTCCTCTGCCCGGCACATCCAGTCACACCCTCAGGGAACACACACCTTAGTACAATCCAAACAAAGGGAGACAACATCCAACGTTTTAGTCCTCCTCTTCCTACAAAACATCCTCCTACCCCCCAAAGTCTCAGCTTCTCTCATGTTCCCCAAATCGTTCCTCGAATACATCTTTTTGAAGTTCTGGATTCCCTGAGAAGGGTGTGTGTGGTGCATCTTCCATCATGCTCTAGTAGACGGGTGCTCTACTCCCTTCTACTTGGGCAGTAGAGCACTTCCCCCAGGTTCCCAAAATGAGGTGACTCTTTGGAGAGGCTGCAATGAAAGGGCCCCCCAACATTCTGAGGTGAGGTTGTTACCCTTTCTTGGAACCAGCCAAGGAATAACCACAAACAAAGGTTGAATTGAAGTAGTACTGAGGGCTGATTTATTGCTTGCTTCCCTTATTTGCGCAGTTATACTCACACACACATTCCATGCATACTGGTGACAGGCTGCAGACACTGGTGTTGCTTTTGATCTTAGGTGACTGAGACTGGCCAGGTTCCAGCTTCCCAGAGATCAAACCACTAGGCGACAAGAGTCCCCTTCGTGTCTGCAGGAGGTAGGGTGACCAGACGGCAAGTGTGAAAAATTGGGACGGGGGTGGGGGGTAATAGGAGCCTATATAAAAAAAAATCCTAAAAATCGGGACTGTCCCTATAAAATCGGGACATCTGGTCACCCTAGCGGGAGGGCTCTATTGCTTCTGGTCTGGTCCTGAGTTTTTGCTGTTGTGGGTTACATCTCTCTGACCACTACTGCCATAAGTTTATATACAGTCCCATATGCACCTTGATTATCCTTACACGCTAATATTTCGGTTTAAGCCTTGAGATTGGTTTCTTACACTCATACTAGCTCACTCACTCCTTACATATTGATTACATATTCATAAGCATGAATACAATTAGTAGTATAGCTTTAAGCAAGCCCCTCACATCAGCGAGGACTTCCTTTGTTGTTTGTGGTTCAGACAGAAAACTGCAAACGTCACTTTAAGAGCAAGGTGAAGCTGGCATAACAGGAAGTCTACACAGACACATTTAAAAAAGCAGATGTGGAGGGGCCATGGGCTGCCCCTCCTCCCCATGGAGCAGGAGCTGCTCCTGCCTGGCAGAGACCAAGCCATGGACGGGGCCGTGTCCGGCTACAAGGTCTGACAAAATCAATTAACTCATGCAAACCAGTCTGGACAATGCACAAGAGCTAGAGAAACATTCCCCGAATCTCCTCTGTGCTCCAGCATTGTCTAGTTCCAACAGTTTTCTGTCTCCATAGAAGATATCCAGTATTCCGCTCTAAACTGCTATTGATTACCAGTGTCGATCTCTTTCCTTCAGTCGCTCTTGGTGCTGGAAAAATCTTTGACGATCCCAGCAATAACCCTATCCTGAGTTCCCTTCCCAGCATTCGGGAATCATCCCTTAATCCATCAAATTTGATCATGTTTTCTCCGTGGCAGTCTAAATGACAGTTTTTGAGCATTCTGTGGTATTGTCTCCTGTCCCATCCAAGGGGACAGCACACTGGCTGCTTTTTTTATCTTGGTCACTGCAGATGTTCCACATTAAGATGTCACTGTCAGGTTGCCACTTGGGATCAGTCTCCATTTCTTCCTTTCAGGAATTTTATTTTTATCCACACAGCTAAAACTGTCACCCAGGTGCTCATCATCTCCACCTTGACTGTTGTAACTTTTTTCTCTCGCTTCTTTATGTAACAGGATCCCCAGGGTGCAGCCTGGGACTGTGGGATCGCTGTGCTCCTTTATCTCTCCAGTCTGGGCTATCTCTCACAATGCCTTGCTAGTGACAAGCAGCAAACCTCTCCAGGCTCTGATATCGCTCAGCACAACAGCATGTGGAGTCCCACACCCAGTCCCACAGTCACTCATGGATCGCACAGGGAAAGGCACCAGCCAAATCCGCCCTGAATTCCCAGCCTTGTACCTGAGGAATATGCCATCTTGCACTGCTCTTCAGGCAAACTCACTGGTAAAGATAAACAGTTAAACAAATTAAGTGATTATAAGTGACAGGCAAAAAGTCAGAGCTAGTTACCAAAAGAAAATATAAGCATGCAGTCTAAATTCTCAACCCTATTAGACTGGGTAACATCTATAGAATCCTAGAATATCAGGGTTGGAAGGGACCTCAGGAGGTCATGTAGTCCAACCCCCTGCTCAAAGCCGGACCAATCTCCAACTAAATCATCCCAGCCAGGGCTTTGACAAGCCTGACCTTAAAAAGCTCAAAAGGAAGGAGATTCCACCACCTCCCTAGGTAACGCATTCCAGTGCTTCACCACCCTCCTAGCGGAAAAGTTTTTCCTAATATCCAACATAAACCTCCCCCACTGCAACTTGAGACCATTACTCCTTGTTCTGTCATCTGCTACCACTGATGACAGTCTAGATCCATCCTCTTTGGAACCCCCTTTCAGGTAGTTGAAAGCAGCTATCAAATCCCCCCTCATTCTTCTCTTCCGTAGACTAAACAATCCCAGTTCCCTCAGCCTCTCCTCATAAGTCATGTATTCTAGTCCCCTAATCATTTTTGTTGCCCTCTGCTGGACGCTTTCTTAATTTTTCCACATCCTTCTTGTAGTGTGGGGCCCAAAACTGGACACAGTACTCCGGATGAGGCCTCACCAATGTCGAATAGAGGGGAATGATCACGTCCCTCGATCTGCTGGCAATGCCCCTACTTATACAGCCTAAAATGCCATTAGCGTTCTTAGCAACAAGGGCACACTGTTGACTCATATCCAGCGTCTTGTCCACTGTAACCCCAGATCTTTTTCTGCAGAACTGCTGCCTAGCCATTCGGTCCCTAGTCTGTAGCAGTGCATGGGATTCTTCCATCCTAAGTGCAGGACTCTGCACTTGTCTTTGTTGAACCTCATCAGATTTCTTTTGGCCCAGGCCTCTAATTTGTCTAGGTCCCTCTGTATCATATTCCTACCCTCCAGCTTATCTACCTTATCTCTATTCGACATTGGTGAGGCCTCATCTGGAGTACTGTGTCCAGTTTTGGGCCCCACACTACAAGAAGGATGTGGATAAATTGGAGAGAGTCCAGCGAAGGGCAACAAAAATGATTAGGGGTCTGGAACACATGAGTTATGAGGAGAGGCTGAGGGAGCTGGGATTGTTTAGCCTGCAGAAGAGAAGAATGAGGGGGGGATTTGATAACTGCTTTCAACTACCTGAAAGGGGGTTCCAAAGAAGATGGCTCTAGACTGTTCTCAATGGTAGCAGATGACAGAACGAGGAGTAATGGTCTCAAGTTGCAGTGGGGGAGGTTTAGATTGGATATTAGGAAAAACTTTTTCACTAAGAGGGTAGTGAAACACTGGAATGCGTTACCTAGGGAGGTGGTAGAATCTCCTTGCTTAGAGGTTTTTAAGGTCAGGCTTGACAAAGCCCTGGCTGGGATGATTTAACTGGGAATTGGTCGTGCTTCAAGCAGGGTGTTGGATTAGATGACCTTCTGGGGTCCCTTCCAACCCTGATATTCTATGATTCTATGATTCTACCACTCCTCCCAGTTTAGTGTCATCTGCAAACTTGCTGAGGGTGCAGTCCACGCCATCTTCTAGATCATTAATGAAGATATTGAACAAAACCGGCCCCAGGACCGACCATTGAGGCACTCCGCTTGATACCGGCTGCCAACTAGACATGGAGCCATTGATCACTGCCCGTTGAGCCTGACGATCTAGCCAGCTTTCTATCCACCTTATAGTCCATTCATCCAGCCCATACTTCTTTAACTTGCTGGCAAGAATATTGTGCGAGACAGTATCAAAAGCTTTGCTAAAGTCAAGGAATAACACGTCCAGTGCTTTCCCCTCATCCACAGAGCTAGTTATCTCATCATAGAAGGCAATTAGATTAGTCAGGCATGACTTGCCCTTGGTGAATCCACGCTGGCTGTTCCTGATCACTTTCCTCTCCTCTAAGTGCTTCAGAATTGATTCCTTGAGAACCTGCTGCATGATTTTTCCAGGGATTGAGGTGAGGTTGACTGGCCTGTAGTTCCCTGGATCCTCCACCTTCCCTTTTTTAAAGATGGGCACTCCATTAGCCGTTTTCCAGTCGTTCGGGACCTTCCCCGATTGCCATGAGTTTTCAAAGATAATGGTCAATGGCTCTGCAATCACATCCGCCAACTCCTTTAGCACTCTCAGATGCAGTGCGTCCGGCCCCATGGACTTGTGCTCGTCCAGCTTTTCTAAATAGTCCCGAACCACTTCTTTCTCCACAGAAGGCTGGTCGTCTCCTCCCCATGCTGTGCTGCCCAGTGCAGTAGTCTGGGAGCTGACCTTGTTCGTGAAGACAGGCAAAAAAAGCATTGAGTACCTTAGCTTTTTCCACATCCTCTGTCACTAGGTTGCCTCCCTCATTCAGTAAGGGGCCCACACTTTCCTTGACTTTCTTCTTGTTGCTAACATACCTGAAAAGAAAAGGAGTACTTGTGGCACCTTAGAGACTAACAGCTGTAGCTCACAAAAGCTTATGCTCTAATAAATTTGTTAGTCTCTAAGGTGCCACAAGTACTCCCTTTCTTTTTACGGATACAGGCTAACACGGCTGCTACTCTGAAACCTGTCAACATACCTGAAGAAACCCTTCTTGTTACTCTTAACATCTCTTGGTAGCTGTAACTCCAGGTGTGATTTGGCCTTCCTGATTTCACTCCTGCATGCCTAACCAATATTTTTATACTCCTCGCTGGTCATTTGTCCAACCTTCCACTTCTTGTAAGCTTCTTTTTTGTATTTAAAATTAGCAAGGATTTCACTGTTAAGCCAAGCTGGTCACCTACCATATTTACTATTCTTTCTACACATCGGATGGTTTGTTCCTGTAACCTCAATAAGGATTCTTTAAAATACAGCCAGCTCTCCTGGACTCCTTTCCCCCTCATGTTATTCTCCCAGGGGATCCTGTCCATCAGTTCCCTGTGGGAGTCAAAGTCTGCTTTTCTGACGTCCAGGGTCCGTATTCGACTGCTCTCCTTTCTTCCTTATGTCAGGATCCTGAACTCGACCATCTCGTGGTCACTGCCTCCCAGGTTCCCCTCTACTTTTGCTTTCCCTACTAATTCTTCCCAGTTTGTGATCAGCAGGTCAAGAGGAGCTCTGCCCCTAGTTGGTTCCTCCAGGACTTGCACCAGGAAATTGTCCTCTACACTTTCCAAAAACTTCTTGGATTGTCTGTGCACCGCTGTATTGTTCTTCCAGCAGATATCAGGGTGATTGAAGTCTCCCATGAGAACCAGGGCTTGTGATCTAGTAACTTCCGTAGTTGCCGGAAGAAAGCCTTGTCCTCCTCATCCCCCTGGTCCGGTGGTCTATAGCAGACATCACCCTTGTTGCTCACACTTCTAAACTTAATCCAGAGACTCTCAGGTTTTTCTGCAGTTTCATACCGGAGCTCTGAGCAGTCATACTGCTCTCTTACGTACAGTGCAACTCTCCCACCTTTTCTGCCCTGCCTGTCCTTCCTGAACAGTTTATATCCATCCATGACAGTACTCCGGTCATGTGAGTTATCCCACCAAGTCTCTGTTATTGCAATCACATCATAATTCCTTGACTGTGCCAGGACTTCCAGTTCTCCCTGCTTGTTTCCCAGGCTTCTTGCATTCTTGCATCTAGATCAGGGGTCGGCAGCCTTTCAGAAGTGGTGTGCCGAGTCTTCATTTATTAACTCTAATTTAAGGTTTCCCATGCCAGTAATACATTTTAACGTTTTTAGAAGGTCTCTTTCTATAAGTCTATAATATATAACTAAACTATTGTTGTATGTAAGAAGATTTTTAAAATGTTTAAGAAGCTTCATATAAAATTAAATTAAAATGCAGAGCCCCCCGGACTGGTGGCCAGGACCCAGGCAGTGTGAGTGCCACTTAAAATCAGCTCACCCGCCGCCTTTGGCCCACGTGCCATACGTTGCCTACCCCGATCTAGATTAGGCAGTTTTTCTCACCCCATTGGATATTGCAGTCCTTAATATACAGTCCTTAAACTTGGGCCAGTCTCCACTGTCAGACTCTTCAGTTTTCTCAGTGTCCTTGTTGCTTGAAGCATAGATGGGGGAAGAAGAAAGACCCAGCACAGGGCCACTGTGTTCTGTTTTATACCCTCCATCCCATGTGCTTGGAGAACAAAAGTCCAGGCATGTCTGGTAGGCATTGCTGAGTCCCCAAGCAAGGTTGAGCAATTCCCCTGGTGTGGTCTTATGCAGATGAATCATTGAATTGTAACTCCCTTGCTGGACTATGGCTATTGATGGTTGTTTGTGGCACCCGCCCGGGCATTGGTTACATTCCTTGCTGTTGTCTCTGGGGAGCTAGTATCTGGCCGATTCCCCAGCTTACAGCATGTTTTACTGACAACCATACAACACAATCTCATAACTTCATATGCACTAATGATATACATATTTAGATAGAACAGTGACTTTCACCAGATCATAACCTTTCCCCTGATATCTTACATGGCATGCTTTATATGCAAGATCACAATTATATATAAATGAGGAATATGGGAGTTACAGGACACTCCCCCAAGGTATAGAATGTCACACTTTAACATCCATGTTGCTCCGTACCTGCCCAAATTCGGCTGCTAAGATCATCCTGTCGGACCATTGCTTGGACTGTATCACCTCCCTCTTTCAATCTGTCCACTGGTTCTCCCATTTCACTGCATTAAGTTCAAACTTCTTGACCTGCTCTTCAAGAACCTTCACAAATCTGTCCCTCCCTACGTCTTCTCCACTCTTTCTTATAACAAGCCCCTCACCTATTCTGCACTCTCAATTTTTCATGCAAACATCTCTGTGCCTTCTGGCATGCTGCCCATTACACACATAACACTTACTCTGAACAGATCTGTAAAGTTGCCACAGAATCCTGCTTTAGAAATTTTCACAGGAACTGCCTGTGTCTGTATATTACCATCCTGTCTGTATAAAGCCAGCCTAGTCGTTGGCAGAGAGGGATAATGGACAGACTTTATTCATAATTACACACAGAAAACTACATTAAAAGAACATTATTAAGGTTGCAAAGTCAGGTACTTGAAAGTTAGGAAATGTCAGAACTAAGTTGCCTGTGAACCCTTAATTTGGGCCCCCGTGCATATGCATTATGATACAGTGTTTAATTACATGATCAGTTTTTTCAGCAGAACCCCTGCTTTTGAGCACCTCTGTAATAAGCATTTAAGCAATAATCTTGTAGATAGCTGAAAGGGTCATATTAATGGGAATATTTTGTTTCCTCTCTTTCTAGATGAACTCCTTCCTCTGCTTCTTTTTGTTTGCAGTATTAATTGGTCAGAAAGAACTCTTCGCTGCATTTGGTTTCTATGAGACTCAGCCCACCCTGATAGGACTGATGATTATTTTCCAATTCATTTTTTCACCTTATAATGAGGTAAAAGTTAGCTTTGTGAAATGGCCTCTTAAAAAGATATACATTTGAATATCATACTGTTTGCTAATTTGTTGTTATTTCAGGGAATAGTTTGAGGTTTCTGATGACTAGTTTATTTCTCTTTGATTTATTCAGGTTAGTGATTTGTCATGGTAAACTGCAATAAGCCTCACAATCTCTGACTGCAGTGTGTAAAGCACTACTGCAATGCAAATAATAAATAAGCTATCCCGCTGGTCAAAGTGAAAAAAGGAAAATCATGAATTTTTAGTAAAAATCCCAATGCACAGGTTGCATTTTTCAAAATAGCCTGTTTTTATTTTCAGTAAAAATAATTTACAATGATTTCACATTTAATTAATAGTTAAGACTATTTTAAAATTGCTAAATTTGCTTGTGCCCATCATTGGAGCCTTGCAGCACCTACTCCATTCCTGACTCAATCCCAGGACTACCTGACAAAGCACTAGTGCTTTAAAGAGTTCCTGCTGTGTTAGTTTCCCCTGCATCCCAGTCTCTCACTTGGTAGCTGTGTAGGTCTAGCTGTTACTGTTGCATCCATCTAGCCACACACACCCACAAAACGTCAAGCCAGGGTTATTTTTTTAAATTGAAAGTCATGGAATCTATGACTCCTGTGACAATCAGTACAGAAATGCAGTTTTACTGATTTTGTTTTCTGAAATTTGAGGGCTGTTGCAAGAAAATGTTCTCTGGTAAAATGGCTGCTGGTTTGCTTTTTGTTTGTCCCATCCGTTGTTTTTTTCTCTCTCAATTTTTACTTACAGCTCAATGAGTTATGTTGTTTTCTGTTTAGACTTTAAGGCCAGAAGGGACCATCATGATCATATACTCTGACCTGCACATTTTGGCCACAGAACCTCACCCACCCACTCCTCTGGTAGGCCCATAACCTCTGGCTGAGTTAGTGAAGTCCTCAAATCTTGATTTAAAGACTTCATGTTACAGAATCCACCATTTACGATAGTTCAAATCAGTAAGTGACCCATGCTGCAGAAGAAGGTGAAAACGCTCCAGAGTCTCTTCCAATCTAACTAGGGGAAAATTCCCTCCTGACCCCAAATCTGTCCGTCAGTTAGACCCTGAGCATGCGGGCAAGACCCACCAACCAGATACCTAGGAGTAACTCAGAGCTCTCCCCTTCTAGTGTCCCATCTCTGGCTGTTGGAGATATTTATTTGTTGCACGGTCATTTCTCTGTAGAGTACTGTATTTGCAGACACCAGAATGAAGTAAGATACAATAGCTGCAAAAGCAGTCAGAACTTGTAACTCCCTACATTCCTGCCTCACTTCCTACTATCCCCTTGGCCTGTCTCTCCCCTAGTGTGGGGGGAAAGGCAATAGGGCAGTGAAGTTTTAAATTGCCTCTTTCCTCCACCCCCACAAGCCCTACTGACTTCTCTTGCTACTTTCAGCTCCCACTTTGCATTAAAATGACCTTAAGAATATCAGTGTTTATATTATGTAATGTTAGTGAGAGTGGCCTCTGGATCACAAACTGTATTTGGAAAGGCAGCCAGGTTCATGGGGTTGGAAATGGTGGAGGAGTTTTTTCTAACAGTAAATATAATCAAAATATATATATAGATTCCAACGGCATGTAAATATATTCATCTCAGAACAAAGAATGTAGGCTTTGCCCAAACAGTGACTCTGAAAAAGCTTTGGGGGTTATGGTGGATAATCAACTGAACATGAGCTCCCAGTGCAATCATGTTATGCGTTTGTCTGCTAGCTAAGAGTCCATTATCAAATATTTGTTCCCCAGCTAGGTACTTGCAAAGAGGGTGTTAATATCCTTTTCTCTGTTCATCTCACCTCTTCGCTGTGAACTAGCTGTCCTGAAACAGGCAAATCCATGAAAGTAGCTGAGACCCTGCAGGCATCCAAAATATCTCTTCATGCAGAATATGCCAAAAACTGGTTTAAATTCAGTGACTGGGTACAGTGCAAAAAACATCAACCCAAAATTGGCAAAAATCCTTGCATTAGAATGGCTGGAAGAACGGCTGGCCGTACACTTGAAACTGCTTTCCAGGAACAGCCTTCAGCAATCTCTTTTTGATAATAGGAGCATAAGTGAATTTTTCTTCTTCATTCCAAGTGCTTTCTGAGAAAGTCATCTCTGATTAATCTTCAGGAAATGCTGAGCGACACAGTGAAACCTCATCATAGATACAATTGCCATACTACTAGTCAGACCTTTGTCACTGATTTTGCACTTTCTTTGTGTCAAAGTAGCCTTTATGATGGCTATAACTTCTGCATGTAGTGTCTGAAGTGGGCAACTTTTCTCTGAAATCGCAATATATTGTGCTGTTCTTTGTATCAGTCCAGACTTTACCCCCAAAGTAAGTACTTTGAGTCATGGTACCTATGTGTATTCCACATGTGGGTGTGCATGCACACCATGCACACAAATCCAGAAATTCTTCAGAATCAGTGTCCGTTGACCCACACATGCACAGTAGCTCCCCTCATGCTCTTAACTGAGGGTGTAAGAGGCAGTGCGGATTGATGCCTCTCTAATTCCTTCTTACTGCCACATGGCCTGAGTCAGAAACATGTCCTCCTCCATTCTGTGCATAACCTGTAAAGTAGAAAGTATTTGTAAATAGTTTTATCTCTTAGCTTAGCAGTTTAAATTTGTAGTTACTATAGTGTCGTTTTTCCTCCCCTGGTTGAGGGAAATTCAAGAATTGCATCTCCTGCCCTTGTTTCTTCTCCATCTGTGATGAACATCAACGGTGCTTGTACTGTCTGGGTGAGACGTACAACTTTGCTAAGTGCAGTATGTCTTGAGCCTTTCCACCCAGAACTCGAGAAGTCTAGGAGCTTCACCTAAGAAAGGTTTCAGAGTAGCAGCCATGTTAGTCTGTATTCGCAAAAAGAAAAGGAGTACTTGTGGCACCTTAGAGACTAACAAATTTATTTGAGCATAAGCTTTTGTGAGCTAGAGCTCACTTCATCGGATGCCGTGAGCTGTAACTCACAAAAGCTTATGCTCAAATAAATTTGTTAGTCTCTAAGGTGCCACAAGTACTCCTTTTCTTTTTTCACCTAAGAAAGTACCTGATGGAGGAGGCTATGAAGCCCCACTCTGATCCGGCCCAGCAAGACCTCCCTGCCCATTGGTCTTAACTGACCAAGCATGTGCCTTGGAGCAGAGCCTCTAATGCTGAAGCCTCAGGACTCTTCCTCCAGGGCTCCCCTTGAGAGTAGAAGACACTCTGATGAGCACAAGAATAGATCCCCACAGTGGACTGTCCATACGAAACACAATCCTTCCCTGAGCTGGTCCAAGTCAGGTAAGACATTGTGCTCAGAACCCATGGAACTGCCTCTGCCAAATACCCCCTGGTTAGAGGGCAAGGCATGCAAAAGGAGAGATCCACCTTGTTCTCATGGTGACTGTGATACTGAAGCATAAGCACAAATGCTTGCCAGTTCCATCTACGAGTGCCGATCCAGACCTGTCATCGACACCATCTTGTTTATCTAATGATCGTTCAACTGCATAGAATCATAGAATCATAGAATATAAGGGTTGGAAGGGACCCCAGAAGGTCATCATCTAGTCCAACCCCCTGCTCGAAGCAGGACCAATTCCCAGTTAAATCATCCCAGCCAGGGCTTTGTCAAGCCTGACCTTAAAAACCTCTAAGGAAGGAGATTCTACCACCTCCCTAGGTAACGCATTCCAGTGTTTCACCACCCTCTTAGTGAAAAAGTTTTTCCTAATATCCAATCTAAACCTCCCCCACTGCAGCTTGAGACCATTACTCCTCGTTCTGTCATCTGATACCATTGAGAACAGTCTAGAGCCATCCTCTTTGGAACCCCCTTTCAGGTAGTTGAAAGCAGCTATCAAATCCCCCCTCATTCTTCTCTTCTGCAGGCTAAACAATCCCAGCTCCCTCAGCCTCTCCTCATAAGTCATGTGTTCCAGACCCCTAATCATTTTTGTTGCCCTTCGCTGGACTCTCTCCAATTTATCCACATCCTTCTTGAAGTGTGGGGCCCAAAACTGGACACAGTACTCCAGATGAGGACTCACCAATGTCGAATAGAGGGGAACGATCACGTCCCTCGATCTGCTCGCTATGCCCCTACTTATACAACAGATGAGTTGGGTCCTTCAGGCATCGCTGCTGGAACTTCTTGGACCCCACGCTGTTCAGAGACTTACTTAACATCAGAGGATGTATTCCTCCCCTATCCCCAGTCTCCACTCCTTTCTGACCCTGTCCTCCTGAGGGAGGTCTTTACTCCAGAAGAGGAATCTATACCAATGTCCGAGGAGCAGTTGCATCTCCAGCCATTAGGCAGGAGTGCCCCAGTATCAATGGGACTGCCACTACTGATGGAACAGTCCTCTGAATCAGAGGAGATAGCTGTACCAGTATCTCCATGGACCTACAGGATTCCCAACTACGGTAACTCCTCACTTTAAAGTTGTCCCGGTTAACATTGTTACATTTGCGGAATGCTCCCTTATAACGTAGTTTGGCAGCTGCCTGCTTCGTCCACTGCTTGCAGAAAGAGCAGCCCGTTGGAACTAGCTGGTAGGGGCTTGGAACCAGGGTGGACCAGCAGCCCCCCATCAGCTCCCCGCTCCCCTAAGTTCCCTGTGCAACAGCTGCCCAGCAGGCTATCAATTGCCAGGCAGTTCAGCTGTCCTTCCCCCCACTGCCATATGCTGCTCTTGCCCTCTGCCTTGGAGTTTCTCCCAGGAACCTCCTGCTTGCTGTGCCGGGGGGCGGGGTGGGAAGAGGGGTGCTAATGTCAGGATGTCCCTCTCCTCCCACTCCTGTACCCCATCTCCATAGAATGGGGACTGACTGACACGACAGGACTCAGGATGGAGGAAGCTTGCTGGCAGCAGCTGCTGACTCAACTTGCTGATCTACTTAAAAAGCCAGTATACTTAGACCGGTGTCCGCATACTTAAAGGGGCCGTGTGCATCTCTCTCTCTC